TCTAGAGGACATAGGGGATCTAGTAGGTACTGGGGTTCTAGGAAACCCTTTGAAAAACATATTTAGCAACTCACAAGGTAAGCTGAAAAAATGTGCATATAACAAACCCATATGTCCATGTATTTTAATCCATTTAAATATGATGTGTATTAAATCAGTAATATTACTGACATGGTCCTTCTATTTGAAACATAAGCAATGTGTGGATTGAAGTCATTAATAATTCAATAGTGACATGACATGAGGTTTGTTACAGTCAAGTTTTAGGGTATTAAAAATTTTGTTGTTAATGACATTTAAGTTAAATCAGTTAAACAAACAAGTTAGTGCAATTCAAAATTATCCTGATAATAATGGCATGCCCACTTATTTGAATTTTGACATACTCTGCTCAATGGAAGATGAAGAAGAATCAGCCGTAGTGCTTCAAGAATGTCATCATCACTGAAGCTATGGATGGCCCCTACTTTTTTTTTTTTTTTTAAAGATTTATTTATTTATTCATACAGAACTGGGGTACAGGCCAGAAATGCGGAGGGTGAGAGGATTCACCAGAGACAGAGTGGGGAGCAGAACAGGCAGATCGACGAAGTACACTGCTGAGGGGAGCAGCGGGCGGGTCAGGAGAGGTCTGCCACACCATGTGGTCACCTCTGGGACAGGCGGGAATCGAACTCATGCAGAAGTGGCTTTAGATTCTCAGTGCTGTGCTTTAACCCGCTGCGCCACCAGGGAGGGCCCGGATGGCCCCTACTTTTACTAAAGTACCATTAATAATCATGCAGTGATGAACTGTATCAATTTACTTCCATGTGCATATTACATTTTGGTTTTGTAAAATTCTGGTCAAGAGCATGAATTCTACATGTTAGTGTCACTGGTTAACATTTTCTAATGTGGGGAAAAATAAGAAAGGTTGCATAGAAGTTGCAGGCATTTTGCAACTGCTGAAAATTCACTGCTTTACTGAAAGAGAAGGACCATGGCTCCTGGTTTTGTGGTACAGGAGATCTTTGCCCCCTTTACTAACCAGAAGCAGTGGAATGTGCTAGTAGATAGCTGACCCCAGTTTATGTGGAGTTTCATGCTGGGGGAGGGTGGGTTTTGAAACCCCTACCAGATTTGCAAATGCACTAATGAGATGTGAAACCTACACCATTGTTGGGAGCAAGGGAAGGAGCAAAAGAATCTTTTGAAAGCCATATAAGTAGGAGAGCAGATGAGGTTCACACTCTTGCCTATAAGATCTTCCTCTTTGATCTCCAACTAGTCAAAATTCTCACCTGGGAAGACCTTCACTTCAGATCTTTGATTTATTGAAAACTTCCACCCTGGAAACCCTTCATTCTGATAACTGACTCATCCTTCGTATCATCACTTGCTGCTCCTGCATGCTCAGCAGTCTCCTGATCACCACTTCAGCACACTTGGTGCTGCTTATCAGAGACATCTGCTGTTGCCTGCTTGTTGACAATGCACAATGACTAGTGCCCAATGTCTCTAAGAGCTGTCTACTAGCTGATCCTCAACAGCCTGATGACCAAAGCTGCTGGGCTATACCCAGTGTCTCACAGAGCTACCTACCCTCCTGGGATAGGAACAATGGCAATTTGTAGCTTTAGAAACTCTCTTTTTTGGATCTCTCTCAATATCCCCCTAGTTAATAAGCCCTGTTGTTACACTCAGGGTATGAGTATTGCTGTGCAATTGATAACACACAGATGAGGGCCCACAAGCCATACCATTCCTCACATGTGCATGGTTTCAATACCAAAAACAAAATAACAGAACTGTAGCTCGAAACTCTCACACCAAAAAGTTAACACTGCTATATTTGAAACAGAGAACAAGGTAATAAAATAAGGAAGGGATCATTGTTTTTTCAATAGAGGGGAAGAAAATAGGGAAATATTTGCTTTATAGACATCTTAAGTAATCAATAAGACAACAGATAGCCCACTCCTACACACACACTTTTAGTCTATAAGCCTTGATTTGTGTTTCTAACCAGTCAGCTAGGAAAACAAAATATTATTATCTCACCAAATTTATGTCTTTAAATAAAACATATATAAATATAACAAAAATTGAAATAGGTCAGATTCATGGTGATTTGCTCAAGCCTTCCAGGAATTCACTATACCACTGATAATCTGCTTTCCAGCAATCTATACTTGTTCTTTAATGTCCTGTGAAATTGCTTTTTTTTGGTGGTCTTTAAATAATGAGTAATAGTTTTCTATCACATGTAAAATTTATTACTTTCTAGGGTCAAATTGTTTTCTGATTTTTTTTTTCTGCAATTGTGTTATATTCCACTGTCTGTCAGAGTATTTACATATAACTCCTGCTGGGGACTCACCCTCCCACCCCAACCCTGTTCCTTAGAAACAATTGGAAGAACAGCAGCAGAAATGGCAAATTCTAGTATCTCTGTAGGTCTAGGCAAAAAACAGTGTAGGAAAAAATAAACTGTAAATGATCTGAGGTCACTAATAAAGTTGTGAAACTGTGAGGAATGTGGGAGAGAAAAGTCTTTTTGTTATTTACAAGATTCACAGGCTCTAACTCTTCATTTCCCTTGTTGAGATTTAACTTAATTATAAAACAAAATCTATAGTCACAGCCAGGCCTAGAGGTAGAGTCTGTACAACTAATCAACTTAAATTCCCTGGGTTCGATTTAATCACAAAACAACATTTGGTGCAGCTGCTAAACACTTACCAGGTGACCACATGATAATAATGAAATATTTACAGTCTCCGGCTTTTGCTTTGACACTATCAGCACAATGATGTTTCAGTTATATATAAATTTGAGCAGCCTCACATTGAAGCAAGAAATTTCTTGATTTTTGGACACTCCTATAGTTGAGCCAGTTAAAATATTGAATTGCACTATAATTAACTAATGTCAGGAAGTAAACTTAATGATAAAAGGGAAGTCCTGATAAAGAACAACACTAGAAAACTAAATGTCAGTACCACACTTCTACCTCTTTAAAATCATTCCTCTGTGAACCAGATAAAGTGAAACCAGGCTATGCGTATTACGAGTTATCAATTTATGTTTTCAACAACAACATAAATTATTTTTCAATATTATTGGATACATCTACCTCATCTTCACTTGCTGTTTAGTGTTCCACGTGACCATTCCAGAGGTGGCTGTATTTCAAGATATTTTTTACATGACAAAATTAAAAATAACTACTGGCATTTTTAAAAAATAGTTCAATTCCTCTAGGATATTTAAAATATATTCTGCTTACCTAAACATTTAAGATCGCTGCAGTAAATGAGATCTGATTCCTTATTTTATAATGTTGTGGCAGAAGTTAGATGCATAGTTAACTTTTTGTTTTAGCATTTGCTTCACTCTAATATACCTTTTACAATATGTGGGATCCTAGTTCCTCCCAAGTTCTCTCAGAGAATAAGAAACATTTCAGCTGGGGGGCTGGGAATAAGAATAACTATTAGGAAGGGAATTACCAATGATACTAAAATAAACACGACACTCAAAGTTAATATAGTGTCATCTAATCCAATCAGGAACTGAGTAGGTGTAAAAGTAAAATATAATGCGTTTGTTTGGCTGTCTTTTTTTCTAGATGTCAATCTCCTTTGTATTTCTTTTCCTGTAGAGGAGAACTGTCTAAAAACTAAAGAGAGGATAGGATATGTCATATCTAATTATATGTACATAGAAAAAAGCAAAATACATAAAACTTGTCACAAAATATTTGGAGCAATAATTTCTTTTTTTCCAACCTCAACTGGTGGTTCTGATTTTTATCTCATGCTGCCCTGCATGACTAACTTGGACCCTGGACTAAGGCGAGACAGTACGTTCTAAAGCTGAAGGCTTATTTCTCAATACTAGCAGTGCCTGTCAGTCTCACCCCAGAGGGTATCTTTTTCTACTGAACAGTGACTGGGTCACAAGAGGAAACAATTCTGCTTGCTGGAAGAAAATAGAATGGAAGGAATTATGATGCCTACCAGATGTTCCAGTGCCCTTGTGGGGGTACCAGAATGTTTTTGCATATGCTGTAAACAGCATAAACTGTCAAACATGGGACCCTGGGGCTTGGTGCTCACATTGCTCTGATGTGCAGAGTCATAAGATTTGAGATGGCGAGAACCCGAGAAACGATCTTAGCCAGAGGTTTAAAACTATGTTTGGGGGAGTCTCCTATGTTTCCTAAATGTGACTTGGGGATTAGAGAAGATTGTTCCTAAATAGTAATAGCACTTGTAGAAAGTATGTCAAAAGCTTATACCAGGGCTAAAAGCAAGACAAGATATTTATCAAGCAACAATCAGGTGTAAAAGTTCCATGTTATTTTCATGGTTCAGGAAAAGAACAGTGTGGCAGATTACCATTTCGGCAGCTGGAGGAAGTCCTAGAAGGAATGACCCTGGAGTTCAGAGGTTGATTCAGAAACTGTAGGCTATTGTGGGTCTCTGGATTTGCATTTGGACAACAAATTTTATCACTAACATACATGTTATCAGCTATTGTGGGGGGCGGGGAGAGGAGCGGTCCAAGAGGGAAAATGTCTTCCAGGTCAAGTCAACCAACCCTAAACCCTTCTGTAGTCACATACCATTTTTATAGCAAATGTAAAATATCACTTAGAAAAATACTTTTCCTTGTTCTTTTTAAACCTGGCAATTCAATTCATTACTGCCCTCAGGATGATTTAATTTTCACTGTATGTTACTGCTTTTCAAATTAGAAAAAACACTGTGATTGTTTTAATACCATTTCCTCAAGCACTACGAGAGAGAGAGCGAGCAGGAAGACAGAGGGGAGAGAAGAGGAGGAGTAGGAGGCGGTGGCTGGGATCTGGGTGTTGCCAGCAGCTATTTCTTGGTTCCTAAATGAAACTAGTTGTGATGAGAGAACACATGAGATTTTAACATAAGGTAAAGCACAGTATCTCCAGGGTTAAACAGCCATTCATATAAGCAGAAGAGACACGTCTGACTCACCGTCACTGTTGATACACACGACCTCTTGAACTTGAGTGCCTGGACCACACTCTTTTCCATTATCTGGCTCACAGTCTCCCAGCCTCACTGCTTTCCAGTCATAGCAGGAGGGCTCTTCACAGGGGATGGCTTCCCGCAAGTGAGGGCAGTTCCCAGTGCCCCCAGAGCCTCCAGTGGGCTCATTGGTGATGTGACGCTTCCTCAGTTTGAAACCTGAATTGTGGGGGATGGAAAATATTTATGATTGCTATTATGGATTGAGTATTTCAGAAAACTGAGTAAGGATGAAAGGCTGAGGACAGAGGGTCGATGGCATAACTGCTTTAATCACTGGTGTGTCCCCAAACTCCACTTTACTAAATTAATAAATGAAAAGACAAAAGAGGGGCTTTTAGTTTCAACATACAATAGAAAAATAAGGCAAGAAATGATATGTCTCTTCTTTCTCCCTCATAGAGGTGGAGAGGGGGGGAGGAGGAAGAAGGGAAGAGAGGGAGGGAGGGGAAAAGGAGAGAATTTTAGTTGATTTGAAAAATCCATATTTATAGATAGCCCAGAAAAAAAAATCTTAATGTATACAGAAAAATTCAGTTCTATCACATGATTAAATTTGAAAGGAAATCTCTGAAAAGTTGGTATGTTCAAGACATACTGTCCCTTTGGGCCTCAATTAATTAATTTTGGCCTGGAAATTTGAATTGGAAGCAAAAACCGCATGAGTCCTATTGTGGACTAGTCAAAGTCCTGCTCTGCAGTGTAAGAAGACCTAAATGTTGCCTTTCCTACAGTGTACACCAACATTAATGTTTGTTTATAGAATATATGATAGTTACTAGAAGACTGCTAAATAGAATAAGACATAACAGATGATGTAAAAATGAACCTGTAATACCCATCACACAATAAATCACTGTATGTATTTTACCTCTCTGACCTGCATCAAAAAAGACACAAAAATTTAAAATTTAAAATTATTTTTAAACAGAATAGACACCTATGACTATTCAAAAATAGTAAAAATTTGTGTTTATTGGGCACTAGTTATAGATCAGGCACTGAATTAAATTCTTCATGCTGATTCTTCAGAGAAAACTGAATGGTGGCTATTGTTACATTTCTTTGATATATAAGTTAACACAGATTTAGATAAGTTAATTAACTCCCTTAAATGGTATGATACCAAGTAGGTTTTTCAAACCAGGTCAGTCTGACACTATAGCTCATCTTAAGTATTGTACAAACTGCCTCAGATGTTCTCCATCTGTTGTCTAAATTAACAAGCATTTGGCCTACATTCGGCAGTTCTAATCTTCTAGTATTGTTATCAGGCTTGTTTTATTTATCTTTTGCAAGGAAAACCTTTAACCATTCTGGATAATGTCACAAATGAATAACCACAAGGAACACAGAGCAGCTTCTAAAAATATATATATATATTTTTTCTTTTTTTTTAACTGAATTGATAGGTACTTCAAGCATGTCATGTTAATATCACATACCTTTTTTGCCTTGCTGATCATTACAGTTTTCGTAAGTACAAGGTCCCCACGCTGACCAAGGTGAAACCTCACATTCAATAGGACAGGGAATCTGGCACAGTTGTGTAGTGTTAGGGACTGGCCCTGTGCATGATTTCAGGTCCACTGGTTTTGAAACTGTTGGTGAAAAATAAAAAAATCCCTTAAGAATTAAACAAAAAGAAATTGTTAGTCAACAATATGATGTTATTTTCTGTGTATGAAGATAGAAAACACTTAAATGCCAACCAGACATTTCTATGCATCTTTATTACAGAGTGAGAACAAAAGGAGTAGGGAAAACACAGTGTAATTAAAGAAAAGTGGCATAGAAACCTACAGATTTGATCACCATTTTTACCATAGTTACCATAAATTAATTCTGCAACTAATAATATTGAGCTTAGCTTTCTTAGTGAATAAATCAGGTTAATTTTATCTCTAAAATTCCTTAGATTCCATGAAAGTAGAATGTGTTTTAGAGGACTAAATACTGTGCAAGGAAAGGGGATTATAGCTTTATTAAACATAGAAAGTGTGCACTGAGTGGTTTCTGAGGGAGCAGTCTCCTTTCCCTTTTTGGTCTACAGAGAGCAACTTGATGAATCTGAGGAAGGAAAAGCTAACACCATCAAATAGGCATTGTCATCTAACTCTAGCTGCATAACTTGTTAGGAAATTTTCAGAAATTTTACAGTACATATTGTGTGTATACATGACCCAAATCTCAGAACCCAAATCTCATGCCTATTCATAAATAGATCAATAACCTCTGGGTAAACATTGCTTGCCCTTGCATCTCTATTTTGATGCCCATAGTTGGTTGTTTGACAGTAAATGTTAGGACGTGACAACAATCTTGGTTAAAGTGGATTCAGTAAGAAAGATACTTAAAGTCATACAGCTAGCAGAAGAGCCAATTTTAACTATGTATTATGTAATATACAGTTAGTTACTTTGTTGTAAAAATTTTAAGAAATAAAGATATTGGAAACACATCTTCTTTAGTAAAAGCTAGTTTCATTTCCTTCTGACATTTTGAAATGTCCATATCTTTAACAGAAAGGATGGAACAAAAGAAGTCTTGGATTATTTTCACCTTCTTTATGTGAAAGGACTATCATATTCTAATGGCATGGGATTATATCTGGAATGTCTTAAAGAAAAATTATTTTAAGAAATGAAAATACTGAAAATATGTTCGTACTTTAAACTTTAATGCAAACTTCAGATTATATGTGCATTGTAGCCAAGTCTCTGTACATACAAATATAATATACACAATCATAAATGCTACTTAAAGATCTTAATTCCTTTTATTGCCATAGTCATTCAATTCTGAAAAATGTTCTTACAGATTTTCTTTTTCTCTTAGGAGTATTTAAATTATCTCCTTCTCCTCCCACAACTACTTTCTTCATGCATGCTACAGTGAAAACAAATGAAGAAACACTCCTAATTGCCTAAAATGGGGCACTCTGGTCATCCACACTGAAGTTTATCGTGACAGTTATTAATGTACATCATAACTGATTAATTTTATAGCTTTCCAAAAGTGAAAGTTCTGAGTATCCCAGTGATGGAAAGTATAGAAAGAAATCTTCATATATCTGAAAAAAAAAATAACCTAACATCAATAATATACATTTTACAGTAAAATGAATGTTTTTTTTTTTTAATTTATTTATTCATACAGAACTGGGGTACAGGCCAGAGATGCAGAGGGTGAGAGGATTCACCAGGTACAGAGTGGTGAGCAGAACAGGCAGCTCGACAAAGTACACTGCTGAGGGGAGCAGCAGGCGGGTCAGGAGAGGTCTGCCGCGCCATGTGGTCACCTCCGGGGCAGGCGGGGATTGAACTCATGCGGAAGTGGCTTAAGCTTCTTAGTGCAGTCCTTTCACCTGCTGCGCCACCAGGGAGAGCCAAAATGAACGGTTTTTAATGGTACAGACCTAAGTCTTGTGATGGCTAACTTTATGTATAAATTTGATTGGATTAAAGGATGTCCAGATGGAAAAATACTTTCTGGATGCATATATTAAGATGTTTCTGGAAGATTAGTATTTGAATTGGCAGAGTGAGTAAAGATAGTCCTCAACAATGATAGAGCCCAAACAGAATTAAAGGTGAAGGAAGGATAAGTTCTCTGTCTCTCTTCTTGAGCTTGACTATTCATCTGGTCCTGCCCTTGACCATCAAAGCAGAGCCAAAACCAGTGGCCCCACCCCCATTAGCAATGACTCAATTTCTATACATCTCCCATCCATCCATCCATCCATCCATCCATCCATCCATCCATCCATCCATCCATCCATCCATCCAATTGGTTTTGCTTTTTTGGAGAACCTAGACTTAAAGATATCTAGAATACATAGAAAAACTTACATAAAACTGAAAACTAACATATGTAATTTCTTCACTTTTATAGTCTTTCAGACTATCACTTAAATGAATTGTGTGCATAATTACCTGAGAAGTCTGTGCTATTTTCTTTCAAATAACCAAAAGGAACTTTAAATGTTAGGGTTATTATATTGTCTAAGAAATCTTGGTTATTATAAAGTTTTCTGGGGGCCCTTCCTGGTGGCACTGTAGGTTAAAGTGCAGCACTAAGAAACTAAAGCCACTTCTGCATGAGTTTGATGCCCGCCTGCCCCGGAGGTGATCCACATGGTGCGGCAGACCTCTCCTGGCCTACCTGCTGCTGCCCTCAGCAGTGTACTTTGACGATCTGCCTGGTCTGCTCTCCCCACTCTGTCTCTGGTGAATCTTCTTACCACCCCTGCACCTCTGGCCTGTAACCCAGTTCTGCATGCACAAATAAATAAATCTTTAAAAAAAACAAAGACTTCTGGGCCTGCAATTGTGAATGCTATTGGATCCTGAAAAAAAATTTATATGTAAGCTAGAACACTTTAGGAGGGAAACAAGATTGTGTCAAGAAAATATGTTAAAACATTGTATTTCTAATACCTGGCATCTTCTTTGTAAGTTCAGTATTTTGGTATATTTTGAATGAATCAAATACAACAGTCACAAAATCTTTTTGAACTACTAAAAGAGGGATATAATGAACACAGAAAGTCTCAAGGAAGTATCGCTTGAAGCAAAATACTCTTGCTATGTCAAATGCAAGCTAACTAAATCAAAAGTGATATTATTTTATAGATGTTTAGGATGTATATATATATGTGTGAATATATTTCTTTCATTGAAAAAAGAAGCACAAAGAGTATATATATGTGTGAATATATTTCTTTCATTGAAAAAAGAAGCACAAAGAGTATGTGTTTGTATATGAATCTATTCCTTTGGTGATTTTCTTGTAAATAGGGCAGATGTTAATTAATTTAAATCACTGATACCATCTGAACACCTCAAAAACTACGCCAAATACATTTCTGCAATTGCCCAAAGGTTATCGGCAATAAGTGTGATTAAATGAATAAAATGAAGGAGAGACCCAAGAGACCTTGCTAAGATCTCTAGTTTAAATTGGTAGATGTAATTCTTATCCCATATTATCAAATATTGGGATTTGAATTTTCTAAAATGACCCACTCATTCTTGAATAATCTTACTATCTAGCAAATTGTTCATCTAGTACAACATTTGAAGAAATATATATTAGATTTTTCTAAAAGTCTTATTGATCTCTTGAAAATAAAGGAGATACTTTTATTCTTGCATGACTTAAAAGGTATTCAATTTGTTTTTATTTTGCAAGTTTCACACAATCACAAAAGAGTATCTAACTTTTTTTCTGGATTTAGTAAACCACCCCAAAAGAGGTTGGTGCATTTTTTGTAGCTCTAAACTATTTTTTTGTATGTTAATCTTCAGAACACAGCAAATGTAAAATAATTCATTATAGGTAGTAAAAATAAGACTTTTGTTTTCAAGAATGTGGTCAGTAAGGTATCATGAAAATAATCCTTTTTATAAAACTAAGAACAGTTATTACTTTTAAATGAATATTTTAAGATAATTGGTTTACATGGACTAGATTTACAGCAAATCTATACAGTTGATCCATGAACAACTTGGGGTTTAGGGGTGTTTCCCAGCTGAAAATCAGAACAATTCAGAGTTTATCCTCTGTATTGTAATCATCCTTTCAATCAACTCATACCTCAGTTGGCTAAATCCTTGAGAAAGGAATATAAGGATAGGAAAAATCCACATGTAAGTGGACAGCACACCTTAAACTTGTGTTGCCAAAGTTTAATGTATAATCATGCCCATTTTACCCTGTGGTAAGATTTAACAAAATCACACAACTAGATAAGAAGACATACAGAAAACAAAGTCGTGCAATAATGGAGAGAGATTAGAGAAATGCAGATACAAAGATACAAGAATTTCTTAAGCCATTCTGTATCCTAATCTTAAAGACAAAGAAGTCTTTCACCATTTAGTGAATGGAGTGGGTATGATTCATTTAATAAAAACACTTATAAGTATTTACTATGTGTCTGGTAATTTTACAGTGTTCCAAGTACTTAAAACATGTGAATTTATGTAATTCTCACAAAACCCTATGAAATAGGTATTTCAATTACCTCTATGTATGTGAGGACGATTAATCCTATAAAGGGAAAACTAACTATGGAGAGTTTAAGTAATGTTCTGAAAGCCACGTAGTTATAAAATTGCTAAGTTTGGCTTTACATCCAGGCTATCTGGTTCCAGGATTTCAGTGTATATTACTGTGATCTCACCATTCCATGTGATCTTGGAAGAATATATGAATGGATTTCAGTAATATGCAATATCTATATAAACACAAAGATATAGACATGTACATTTGAAACAGGTCATAATATATGTTAAAATATAGCTAATGGGGGTTATTAATGTGTGATGTTAAAATATTAATATAATGAAGCTATCAAAATAGTCAAAATCAATCCTAATAGTCTATCAATGGAAGTTATTCTGATTTTTGTGTTCCATTTGAGAATAGAAACTAAATTTTAATTCTTACAGTTATTAAGAACTGGCTGTTCAAAGTGAATTACTGCTAAAGTAAAATATTCTGCACTTATGCTGATTATAACAGTAGCCAACACATCAATTTACTAAATGAATTCTATAAATCCTCCCAGTAATATCATGAAGTAGTTACAATTGTA